ATTGTCAGCACTGGCCACGTGTCGCCAAGTGGCTGATCCCACTAGGTCAAGGATTTGAGATTGGAAATATACGTTTTCCATGCATGTGGAGGTTTTTCTAACCATGCTAATACAATTTCGGAATCAGACCAGAGATACAATTTATATTTTGTCATATTTAGATGAGTTTGCACCATGGATACTAGTTTGGCGTGGTAGCGCACCACATAGTTCCAGTCGTGGTAGACTTATTGTTTTTAGCGGAGCCACCGTTGCCTTGGCTACTAGTAGGTGACTGGTGGTCACTATGTCGGATTGTATACGCACATAGATGGTGGCGCAATATGCCTTTTCAGAGGCATCACAAAAGACGTAGTTCGACTTTGTGCTCTGGGGCATAATTAATCCATAGTTGGATTTGTATCTGTAAGATATCATTCAGATTACCCGCGAACTGGGACCACTTTTCTAAACAAAGTGGTTTCACTTGTTCATCCCCGTCAGTTCCGTCTAACCACAATTTTTGTATTAGAATTTTTGCTTGTACAATAATTGGCGAAAGCCATTCTGCGGGGTCGAAAAGTTTTGCCACCGAAGATAAAATTTGCCTGTTTGTTATAGCTGATAATGCGGATATTGACTCATTAGTGTGTGAAAACTGGTCAGATATCCCATTACATTGAATCCCCAAGGTTTTTGTTGTGCTTTCCTTTTCTAATTTAAGGAAATTAGTGTCTAATAGATTTTGTTTAGGTATATCTTTTAAAATATAAGGGTGGTTCGAAGTTATCTTTTTCAACGGAAACCCTGCTGTATTAAGCGCTTGTGTCACTTGTGTTAGTGACTCATATGCCTGTAGAAGACTATGGCTTCCAGACAAATTGTCGTCTATATACGTTTGTGTTTTCAACACTTGTGTTGCCAGAGGTAATTCTGACTTTGTGTCTTCTGACAGTTCGTGGAGTGTACGAATGGCGAGGTATGGGGCACAGTTTACGCCAAAGGTAACTGTTTCTAATTTAAAGTCGCGCAGTGGACTATTGGGAGATTTTCGGAAAATAATTCGCTGAAAATCTTGATCATCTCTATGTACAACTATTTATCGATACATTTTTTCAACATCCCCATTGAAAACGTATGTATTTGTATGTACGCCAGTTTAATATGAGCAGCATTAAATCTGGTCCCGTAAATAAAATGTCATTAAGGGAATTCCCCGAACTTGAGGATTTTGATGCATTGAAGACAACTCTTACCTTCGACGTTCTTTTGTCGGGCTTTATTACTGCATGATGTGGCAGGTAAAATGAATAGTATTTACCTTTTATAATTTTTTCCCCAGGGCTGMCTTCCTCCATGTGGTCTAAATGGAGGTATTCTTCTAAAACCCTATCGTATTCTGGTTTTAGCTCGCCTCTTTTAAGTAGGTTTTTTTCCATACTTAAAAACTGTTGGGTAGCAGAGGTACGAGAGTGGCCTAAGGCGAGTGCGTGGGGAAATTCTGGCTTTAGTGGTAGTCGTACGACGTTGTCGAGTAGTTGTGGATTTGTAAAAATCCTCACAACCTCACAATATCGATCTTCTGGTGTTGTGATTGATATGGGGGGAAGTTCTTCTAACTCCAAAAATTTCTTCAGTTGAGTATTGAGGTACTCATTTGAGATTTCCTCAACTTGAGTTGTCATTTTTGTGACTGGTTCCGCAACTAGTCCGCTTAGGACCCATCCGAAAATAGTATTTTGCGCCAGAAGTGTTTTTTTTTGTTTTCTCAACACCTTCGAGAATAATTTGTGATATGAGATCGCTGCCTAATAGAATGTCTATTTAAGCGGGAGTGTTGCAGTTGGGGTCTGCTAACTTAAGGTGTGAAGCCTTTAACCAATGCTTGCTATTTATATGACAGCTTGACAATAGCTTCTGCCTGTATGTGCTTATCCGCTTTGGGGGAAAGGAGGGTAATGGTACAGATTTTGTTTGAGTTTTGTACTACTCTTCCGCCCATTCCCGTAATTTCAAAATTAGCTAGTTTTGTTAGCAGTTGTAGCCTACTTTGTGSCCTAGACGCTATAAATGATCGTTGAGATTCTATTAAGGGCTTAAGTTTAAACAGTTCTCCTCGGTGCTCGATGGAGACCACTTTTTCTTCTTCTTGATTGGCGTAGTCACCGCTTACGCGGTTATAGCCGAGTTAAAAACCGCGCGCCAGTCGTTTCTTCTTTTCGCCAAGGGAGTGGAGGTCTTTCTCTTCTATATATGCGATTCTTCCAGCAGCAGCGTTATTGACAACGATTGTGCTCGCATTCTAAACAACCGTTTTTAAGCCAGCGACTTTGAATTTGCAGTTTATCTTTCAGGGATTATAAATATTTTTTTTATAATTTTTTTAGATGTGCGAATGAAATTTATTRCATATGTAGAAACATGGTCAAAATAATAAGTACTTTCCTTTACCCTGCAATCGTTGTTAAATTTTGAATGTCTGATAAAATAAACGAAAGCAAGTTTGGGTCAGCTTTAATAAATTCGGTATAACAATATTTTTGGAGTGAAAAAAAAAAATTGTGAAATAAAAGTGTTGAGTGTTCATCGTATTTCGTGCAGTATGCCCTAAGTTCATTTATGTACATGATAAAAGAAATAAAATGTAGCATTTTAAGATGAATAAACGTGAATTTAGTAGTCATTAAAAGTCACCAACTTTTATCAAACATCCAACTCCATCATTTTTTTTCTTAGATTCTTCTTCTTAATTGGCGTAGTCACCGCTTACGCGATCATAGCCGAGTTAACAACCGCGCGCCAGTCGTTTCTTCTTTTCGCTACGTGGCGCCAATTAGATATTCCAAGTGAAGACAGGTCCTTTTCCACTTGGTCGTTCCAACGGAGTGGAGGTCTTCCTCTTCCTCTGCTTGCCCCGGCGGGTACTGCGTCGAATTCTTTCAGAGCTGGAGTGTTTTCGTCCATCCGGACAACATGACCTATCCAGCGTAGCCGCTGTCTTTTAATTCACTGAACTATGTCAATGTCGTCGTATATCTTGTACAGCTCATCGTTCCCTCGGATGCGATATTCGCCGTGGCCAACGCGCAAAGGACCATAAATCTTTCGCAGAACTTTTGTCTCGAAAACTCGCAACGTCGACTCATCCGTTGTTGACATCGTCCACGCCTCTGCACCATATAGCAATACAGGAATTACGAGTGACTTAGTTTGGTTTTCATTTGTCGGGAGAGGACTTTATTTCTCAGTCCGAAGTAGCACCTGTTGGCAAGAGTTATATTGCGTTGGATTTCTAGGCTGACATTGTTGGTGGTGTTTACGCT